AATAGCCGTTATATTGGGGTCTACATAGCCATTGTTTGTCATAAGCCGTTACCATATTCAAATTCGAAACTTTAAATAAACGGTGAATAATATAGCTAAAATCATTAAAATACCGTATATAGGGAGGTATCGTTATATCGGAGCTATACGAAGACCTAGACCTGCAAAGAAAATTTTCTGTCATAGGCTGTAGCATCTATTACGATCTTCAAATACGACATCTCCAACAATTTCGGTGAGTATTGTACCTAAAATCGTCAAAATACCGAGTATAGGGAGGTACTGACATATGGGGCCTATACGATGACCAGGACCAGCATAGACAATTTTCTGTCATAGGCTGTAGCATCAATTACGAAGTTCAAATACGACATCTCAAACAATTTCGTTGGGTATTGTACCTAAACACGTTAAAATACCAAATTTAGGGAGGTACTGATATATGGAGCCTAAACGAAGACCTGGACCTGCATAGACAATTTTCTGTCACAGACTGTACTGTACTAGAAGAATTTCAAATACAACGTGTTAGAGGGGCCAAAAGTGAATGAAACAACACTTATTGATCTATAGGTTACACTTATAATCTCTTTTCTCCTAGTAACAGAGGATTTATTATACCCTCCACCATAGTATGGAGGGTATATTAAGTTTGTCATCCTGTTTGTAACACCTCGAAATATGTATTTTAGACCCCACAAAGTACATATATTCTTGATCAGCATAACATTCTATGTCGATTTAGCTATGTCCGTCTATGAAAATCACTCTAGCTTCCGAACGAAATGAAATAAGTTGATAAAAATTTACTCAAATGTGTATTTTGTCTACAGGATTGTTTTAGCGACGATTTTAGCGACTACAGCGAACTATTTCAAATTTGGTATTTGAAGTTCGTAATGAATACTACAGCCTATGACAGAAAATTGTCTGTGCAGGTCCACGTCTTCGTATAGCCCCCATATAACGGTACCCCCCGATATTCGGTATTTTGATGATTTCAGCGACATTATTTACCCGAATTATTTCAAATTTTGTATTAGAAGTTCGTAATGGATACTACAGCCTATGTCAGAGAATTGTCTGTGCAGGTCCACGTTTTATAACCACCATGGTACCTCTCTATATTCGGTATTTTGATGATTTTAGCTTCATTATAAACAGATATTTTTCAAGTTTCGAATTTGAATATTGTAATAGCTTATGACAAAATTTGCCTATGCAGGTCCACGTCGTCATGTAGACCCTAATATATGGCTACATTCGGTATTTTTAAGATTTTAACAGAATTTTTTAACGGATTTTATTTTTTTGAAAATCGCCAAATTTGTAACAAATGGTGGAGAGTATTCAAAGTTCGGTCCGGCCGAACTTACAGCTTTTTTACTTGTTTCCTGTTTAACAGAAGATGTCTTTGTAGACAAGACACGAACCCACAAATTCATTATTTTGAATTTTCTTATCACAATTCTTGACAAAGTTCTGATAGAGACTTAAAGGTAACATCAGCAGAAATGGTTCGAAAAGTAAAGAAGCGAGTTGATCGAAACCCGCGTCGCATTGGCCGAAAAATGGTTCGTGAGCTGATTGCAATATTCCATTCGCCAAATATTTAAATATAAGCTTGGGGTAAAGCCATTGGAATTCTAAAAAGTGCAAGAACTTACACCGCAGCAGAAAGAAAATAGACTCAAAAGAGCTAAAGAATTGCTTCGCTTAATCGAAAGTGGTGAACTGCCGAGTTTGGTTTTCTCCGTTGTCCAGCAATTTGAAAACAAACACAATGATCGTGTTTACTTGCCAAAGAGGTCAGCTGAAAATGTGCACCTTCGGCCACCAGAACTCAAGCGCCGGCCATGGTGATTGTGAGGGCCGCCATAACAGCCAATGGTCGCTCCCCGCTGTTATATATGACGAATATTATCGCGAAAATATTCTGGAGGGTGTATTAAAGACTTGGGCACGCAAATATTTTGGCCGCAGACCTTGGACATTCGAACAAGATTCAGCACGCGCCACCCAAGAATGGTTACAAAATGTAGTTCCTCGCTTCATTTCCAGCGCACAATTGCTACCAAAATCTCCGGATACCAATCCGTTGGCCTATTGTGTCTGGAGTATTTTGGAAAAAAAAGGTTGGCACTAAAAAATATCAAAGTGTCGATCACATCAACCAAGCGCTTCGCCGGGAATGGGCTAATATACCGCAGAACAATATTCGGGCAGCGTGTGGCTGTTTCATTGCCAAGGTAACCAATTCGAACAAATCTTATTCTAAAATTTCATGCTATTTCCGATATTTTTTGCTTTTATCTAATAAAATTAAAAAATATGTAAAAATGATGGCGTTTGACTTTGTTGCAGTTTTTTATCTCACCCTGTATTTTGTGCTGATTTTTATTTCACAGGAATAAACACGATTATGAGTTCTGTTATTTTCATACTTTATTTTCAACAATAGTTAAAATCCTTTTTCGTTCCTTCAATTGCGAATTTTCAATTACACTTTCTCACACTTCATTTAAGATTATATTTTCAGTCGTTTCGAGTGGTCATTGATAATTCAGTCAACACTCTACTCTTTCATATATACACACACACCTAAACATAGATGTATTTATATATTGGTATATCTTGGTATATCAAATAAACATCCCTCGATGAAATTTACTACCTCCCCGCAGCCCACAAATTAAATTGTTCTTTAAATTATTTATTTATTTGTTTTTTTTTTTTGCTAAGCGTGAACACATAAAAATAAACTTCTGTCAAAATTCATCAATACTCAAACATTGTGTAAAATGCTATTGATAGAGCTATTGGTCGGGTGTCATTGTGATTTTTAGCACTGCAAAAAACTGATAGCCATAAAATCTTGCCATGTAATTGGTTGAACAAGAACAAGTAACGCAAAAAGGCTTGATAGGCAATGAAAACCCCTATAAAATTATTTTAAATTATGACTTTGTTTTTGCACATCAATTTTTTTACAGAGTCTATTTACCCTCATCTTAAGGGATGGATGGCGGAAGACGAACAGAGAAAAATTGAAAAATTAAAAACACTTAGCCATCGTGAGTTAAAAATGGAAACATGATTCATGTTGACCACTCTCATGTGATGAAGGGCAATAACCCTGCTATTGTTTTATAACAGAATATTTTGATTCAATAAGGGTTGATATGTTTTCGTAACTAAGTTCCCCCTTTCAATCGATGGAGAGATGCTACATCCTAATTTTTTAGTTGTGGTTTCTTTGAAGTTCCAGTGACAGTTTGGAAGGTGTTCATTTCACAGTCTATACAAATACCGTTCATACAGGATACTTTACAAGTTGCAACAGTATCATATGTCGCCATGAATGGAGGATAACATGTTCTTTTCTTGCCTGTTAAATACATCTTACGGAACAGGTGATGGAATTGTAAAATGAACCATGTTCAAGTGGATTTTTTATTTTTACTCTTAAAAGGAAGCTGTATTTTGTGAATGAATTTTAGGGAGTCGCAAAGTTTTAAATATCGAAGATCATTAAAATATGTAATCCAACGTTTAAGTAGAGGGTAGTTAATGTTTTAATGCAACTTTTTTTCTCTGCCAGAATGGATTGGGATTTTGTAAAGGGACATTTACAACTTTTTGTACCATAAACCATGGAGGTTATATTCAATTTGCATTTATATCTCAGGCTTCAAAATAATTTATTTGTATACCCTCCACCTCGGAAAGGAGGGTGTATTAAATTTGTCATTCCGTTTGTAACATCCCTAAATATTCGTCGTAGAACCCATAATGTATATATATATTCATAATCAGCATAAAATTCTAAGCCGATTTAACGATGTCCGTCTGTCTGTTGAACTCACGATACAGGGCACATTATTTGACGTAGAGTGTCAAAATTTAGCAGAACAATTACGGTACCTCCAGATATTCGGTATTTTGACGATTTTTGCCACATTTTTTCACGGATTTGTCTAAAAATTGTTATTTGTGTGTCCTAATGGGTTCTAGCTCCGTTGACGAAACATTGTATGTATAGTTTCACGGTTTTGTATAGCCCCATATAGCGGTACGATATTCGATATTTTGATGATTTTTGCCACATTTTCCACGTTTCCACGGAACTGCTCAAAATCTAGTATTAAGAGTTTGTAATGGGATCTACCTCAGGCGGCAGACTATAGCCTGAATAGTTACACGTTTTATGCCATAACAGTACCGCACGATATTCAATATTTTGATGATTTAACCCACATTTTTTCACGGAATTGTTCCAAAATTTTTATAAGCTATTGGTATCGGATTCAACATCTGGTGACAGAATATTGTAAATGTAGGTATACTACGTTTTTCTATAGTGACCATATAACGGTACCTCCAGATACTCTGCTTATTTATCATTTATACCACATTTTTCTGATTTCATTTTTTTTTTTTTGTCAAAACGTTGTCCATATTGGATAGATAAATATAATAATATTTATACAAAATGGTGGAGGGAATTCAATATTTGCATGTTTTCAATCAAAACTTTGTAAAGGTTTGGAGCTAAGTAGACTTACACCATTAATTTTTGCCCCTGATCTAAGCGTAATTTAGATACTAATGTAAAACAATTTTAGAATAAATTGTCGATTTAGTTCGCTTTTCATAAAACTTATCATTTTTTCAAAATTTTGACTCTTTGTGGACAAGGTATCAGAAAAGCATCCGATTTTATATTTAAGGACACTCTATAGCAATGACATTTGTTACGAGAGGTCATAATTTTTAAAAACAGTTCAGATTGAGATATACCTCCCATACAATTTCAAATTTTAACCGATTACATATAACATATGGTCGTCCCACACGACTTTTATTCTTACATACGGGGTTGCAATTATTATTAACTGTTGCTAACGATGCAACTGCCATTTGCTCAATAGTTCAATATATATTTCCATTCCAATAATTTAATAAAACAACATTTCATTTGAGATTACATATGCAACTCGTATGTAACATACAACTTTATATTTTTGGATTTTTTCTTTGTTGACATTATTATTGAATTTGCAATACAAATTTATATAATTAAAGCACTAATAACTAAAAATTATTAAAAAAAAAAAACTTAAACACAAAAGAAATATCTACTATTTACAAAAACATTAAGATATTAGACTTAACTATGCACTAGATATAACATTATTATAATAATTGTATATATATGTATAAAATATGTAAACTTTATATAATCTATATAGTAGGAAGAATACGAAACGTCATTTATGCTAAGGTCACACAGAATCGAATAGAGGATACTCCAATAGTCGAAATCTTTATAAACCACGATCATAAAAGTCGTCAATATTTTCGGTTAAAATTAAAATAAATTCAGTCTAAGGGGGTCTGTGAGTGGTCAAAGAAGGTATAATATTTTGAATTCTAATAGGAAATGTTTCCATTATTTATGTATTAATGAAGAAAAACAGCTACAAAACACAAAACATTATACCATCTTTGATCTAACAATTTTGAGTAATATTTTTTTAAAGGGTATAATGGGCTTCGTTAATGCAGAGGGTTGTGGTTCCATATTTAACTTATTTTAATATGTTATTGAATATAGTTGTATTAAGATGAGTATCAACATTATTATTATTTTTATTCTGACTATACACATTTTATATATATTTGTTGGTGTTTTTCTTGTAATTTTAAATGAATGCTGTTTTGTTGAATTCTATGACAGTTCCTTTGGACTTTACAATGTTCTATAATTAGGTTTAGGGGCTATTATGGCCTATAGATTCCTAAGAATCATCTTGTTATACAGACGAACTTTGGTTCGTTACCAACAGAGGAAAACCAAAAAAACAAGAAGATTATTCGAAACTGTTTAGGTGGCTAGACCCAAACATCATGAAGTGTTCCAAACTTTTTGTAAAAAAAATAAATTTTAGTCATTACAAGGCTTCCATTTCAGTCTCAAAATAGTATTATTGTGATTATGCCTTGAAGAAACCTTGTATGATTAACTCTCATGAGGCTTTGGAAATTTCATCTTCTATTTCGTTTTGTTTGTGCAGGGCAGGACTCCAGGAAAGCCTTTTTCAGTTTGGTCTCATTGGTAACATGCCATAATGCTGATTGTGTTGCTGGGGATGGGCGGGTGGTGGAGGTTGTTGTGGGGGCGGTTGTTGTTGTTGCTGCTGCTGATGATGTTGGGCCATCATTTGTTGTTGCTGCTGCTGTTGCTGTGTGGTGGGTTGTGTCGAATGTGGAGCTGGTGCTCCTTGACTAGTGGAAAATTGTCCCATTGTTGTGGTCGTTGAAGTCATTGAAGCCGCTTGTGACACTACCACCGGTGTTGACACCTTACGTTCTGACTGGGTTCTAATTGGTGGCGGATTTGTGGCCGAAGATACCTGATGTTGATTAGGTTGCGGTGGGGGAGCATACATAATCATGGGTGGTTCGGTGCTGGGTATTCTCGCAGGTGGTGTCATTGAGGAGCCATGATACGATCCATATGAACTGTCATCAGATTGGGCGGATTGGCCACGATTGCGGGGCACTGTCATGCCATAAACCGATTCCGGACGACGTTCAAATTTTATATTTCCATCGGTGGGATTGGGATTTTGCCTGGTGCCATAGACGGATTGAAAACTTTGTGGCCCGCTATCTTGAGGTGGTTGCGTCAGATGTTGTTGCTGATGCTGCTGTTGTTGTTGCTGCTGATTTCCTTGGGGCTGTGGTGGTGGTTGGTGTTGCATGAGCTGTCCGGTTAGATGATGGGGCATTTGACCTTGATGTGGTGGCTGACTTTGTCTATTGGCCGAACGTACACCATAAATGCTTTCCGATCTTTGTTGCATCTGATTTTGTACATTTTGATTTTGTAGGTGTGATGATTGCTGGTGTTGTTGCTGTTGCTGATGTGGTTGCTGCTGTTGTTGATGCTGCTGCTGTTGTTGCTGCTGATTGACTTGTTGATTCATGCGATACAAACTTTGCGCTGGCACCAATGGACCCGATCTTGGTACAATATCACGATTAATGGCCGTATTACTCTTGGCATATACCGATTGTGAACGATTCAAATTCGTACGGGTCAAGGTGGGTGAACGACAGTACATGGAACGGGTACCACCATACAGGGGTTCCTGTTGTTGATCGAACTTAGGTGGTGCAGTATACAAGTTCTGGCAATAATTGCCGTTTCCGGCATTTCCATTGGGTGGAGCGGGGCCCGTTTGTTGTGGTACATTTGCATTTTGTCCACGCTGGAAAGTACCCGTGTATTTAGTTTGCATATTTTGCTTCTCCAAATCCAAATCATAGTTCAACTCATCATCCGAGTTCATTGATGACGATTCATTATCCATAGATGCCTTGATGTGGCGTGCATTACGTTTTGTGCTAAAAATGAATTCGTAAACAATGCCGGATGCAATGCCACCAACCAAGGGACCAAACCAATAGACCCAATGATTATCCCATTTGTTCAAAACGAACGAGGGTCCCAATGAACGAGCCGGATTTAGGTATGGCATCTGTAACAGAAGATAAAGAAAGAGGATATGTTAATAAGGAGATTTTTTCTATTTTTGAGATTAACAATGGAGTTATGAAATGAGACAAAGAACGAAGTAGGTTCCATGTAATGGCAATTCTAATCAGTTCCGTGTTATATGACTGCCTGTGTGTGGGTTGTGCATCTGTACAGCAGCTGCTTTTTGGATTTTCTCACGCTCTGTAAGGATGTGCGCAAGTGATCCTTCAATAGATGAAAATCTTCTATTGTTACAGCAGGTAGTCACCCCAAAAATAGACAATAGAGCGACAAGACAAAAACACTTGCAGCTGCAGGTTTTAATTTCCAGTCAGTTTTTGTGTTTGAATGGAAATCCTGCCTTGGCATAGGAATTCTGGTTTTCTTGATCCTTTTCAAACAAAGCATTAGATTTAAATACCAGGAAATATTTGTAGGTATTTGTTTCTATTGGTAAATCTATTCCAAAAATAGTATGCGTAGTTTGTGGATTTTAATACAGCGAAACAAAATGTTCGTTACAAGTTGTCAATTGTGTATAGCCAACATGTTGTGTGTTGGATGGCAAAATGTAAATTTCATTCCGTTTTACAAGGAATGAAATAGAAATGCTCAATAAAGTAATGGATATTTTATTATTAGCGGCACTGCTCAAAACCGTGTGCTAGCACATGGGTCCAAAAAATAGATTTTTGAAGAGAAAGTAACAATTATATATTTCTATATATTTATCTCTTTATTTCAAACGATTTTAAACTTGGATGTTGTCCAGATTTATAAACAACGCAAATTCTTAAAAAAAAATACAAATGATGTTTTTAACACAGGTTTTTGGACGATTAAAAAAAACTAAAAGAAATTGGACTGGTGAGCGAGGTCTGGGGTTTGAGCAGCGCTGTTATCCGAAAGCAAACATTTATGTTTAAAAACAATTAAATGGAATCGTAAAATATAAAGAAAAACATAATTTTAATTTTCTCTTAAATTATCTCTTTTTTCGGCTCATGTTCTAGAACTGTTTTGAGCAGGGCTGGTATAACTCTACTTTTGTGTCGAGAAAGGAAGAGTAACTCCACACAAAGCTTTTTCGTTGCTGATACGATTCAAAGTCGTAAGAACCACCTACCTCTTTTTCGATTAAAATATCATTGATTTGTTTGAATGTAAATGGCGCCCAAGGCACTTGGCAAGAGTATACACACAACTTAATTTCTCTTTAAACTCTCACCGGAGAACTTACATGCAAAATTCTCCTTTTGTGTTGAGGATGGTAAAGTTTCTCTCACAGAAACAAAACTTTTACGTTGCTTGTAATTGACAAATTTACAAATACGATCAAACTGACATTTTTCAATTTAAATATGTGTTATAAAAAATATTCGTTTCATTGGAAAATATTAATTTCAATTGAAATTAAAAATGCTTTTGTTTATGATCCTATCATATAGCTCATTGTGACAAATTGAAACATGTCTTGTGGTTCAAAATGATTAAAGCATTTATCGAAAAAAATCCCAAAAACAAAAATATCCTTTGGTTGGGATTTTTTTTACATTAATGCTCAAGATCAAGAAAATCACAAGTATGCTTTGAAGGCCATTCAGAACATAAAACGTTATACTATACGACCGCAAAAAAGGCGGCAGTGGCGGCGACAAGTAAAGAAACAAAAATAATGCATAAACATTCAAAATTGCCGCCTTTGAAGCTACTCTTTCAGTCGGGACGAAAAATGACAACAACAAGGAAACATTGGCATTGAATACCACCAGAGAAAAACGTAAATCTTAAAGTAAATTGCTTCGATATTAAGAGATTTTTTTGGTTTGTTTCGGTTTCTTCTTTTTACGAAATACCTAAACAGCAGGTGTTTTTCGGTTCATACTTGACAAAGTAACAACATCGTCAGGCCATGATGTTGATGATGACGATGATATGATACAAATTACAAGAAGCAAAAAAAAATAATGTGAAACATAAGTATTTTGTGAAAAATTAAAAAAAAATCGAAACCATAAATCGCAGAAGTTAAAAAAGAAAAAAACTTGAAACTTACCGACACAAAACTGCACGCACTGTAGGCCGCCGCTATGGAGGATGCAGAATGTCCCATAACTTTTTTTACAGAATCCGTAGACACAAAATATGTTAAGACCACAACAAACGTTAAAATGAATTCCACACCGAAACGTTCCCAGGCTGCTAATGTGGCACTGTGAGATATGGCTGCTTGTAAATTACCCTGATAACCGGGTACGGTGACTCTGTAAATAAAGAAAAAAAACGTTTAAAAAATTAAAATTTCCAGCTTTAACTAGAGAATATTTCAGCAAAAATAAAGTCAATACAACACAAAGTTCAAACAAACTATGTACTTGGGTAATTTGAGATTTTGCAGCATCCGGAGTTTGGGTTTCTGTTACAAAATTCCCATGGTTTATCTTGGGTGATATTAAGGAGAATCCAAAGGAAGAAACCATCAAGTATATTAATTTTCAATACTTTAGCATCCTTGTGAGAATTTTGGCCACTTTCAGCATGCATTCTAAATAGCAGTTTTCAAAACAACATCCATAACAAGCTAAAAACATCTTCACCTCTCCTTCTCTCCCGCTAAGTGATGTTGTTTGTAGGTGTTGTGAAAAAATACAAATTATTTCGATGTGCCAAAAAGGTCAGTGTGAGAAAACGCTCAACGTACTTGAGATCATACTTATTATTTTTTATCTTCTTCTTCCTCACTTTTTTTTTTTTTTTTTTGCTTCATCATCTCCCAAGCTAAGGTTTTGCTGCATCCCAAACGAAGAGTCCAAGCACCAAACTTAAGGACAAACAAGTTTATTTAGGTTGTAGAAACCTTTGTACTACGAACATCTACCGTTCTACAGCATTCGTTGTGTGATCAACTCTGTTTCCTCCTTCACATTATTTTTGGCCATGATGATGATGATATTGGTAATGTTAGCACAATGACTTTAAAAGATTCCCACGGTCAGGGAGCTTTTGCGAAAAGACAACATCATTTGATGTTTTATTTGTTGGTTTGGGGGATATGGATTTTGTTGCATTTTTTCGCTGCTTTGTCAAAAATGTTGTACAAAAGACAAGTCATTTGTTAGCATTTAGAACATTTCCCCCCTGATAAAATTCGTTGGGCGAAATGATTTATATTAGAGAATTGAAGGAAAGGGGGCTTTTCACATTGGGATAGTTGTTGAGGTAATATTAAATATATAAATTGAAATGATTATTTATATCGAACTAATGAAAATTATATGTAAAATTTAAATTGGTAGTGTGGCTTTCAAATGTAGAGGGAAAAACTTGTTATACACGCACTGATAATGTAAAATGGAAATAAAAAAACGGCAACAAAGTCAAACGCCATCATTTTTACATTTTTTAAATTTGATTGAATGAAAGCCAAAAATGTCGGAAATAGCATCAAATTTTATAATAAGTTTAGATTTGTTCGAATTGGTCATATTTGGCACGAATTATGGCATTCAAACGGCCAATGAATCCGTCACACGCTACCCGAAGAACCTCATTTTATAACCATTCTTGGGTAGCGCGTGCTAAGTGCGATGGTGCTGAGTCCTGTTGGAATGTCCAAGATCTGCGGGGAAAATGTTTGCGTGCCCAAGACTTTAATACACCCTCCACAATATTTTCGCGATAATATTTGGCATTTATTCTGTTATGGCGGCTCACATGGCCGGCGCTTGAGTTCTGGTAGCCAACTGAAGGTTACATTCCTGATATCGGAAAGTACCATTACACTGCGGATATAAAAAAGCGTGGACCTATGTAGGCAATGTTCCGACACCACATGTGAATCCCATTACAGGATATAGAATTTTAAAAAATCCGTTAAAAAAGTGGTTAAAATCATAAAAATTTCGAATATCAGGTGGTACTGCTATATGGGGGCTATAGGAAAACGTGAATCTATACAATATTCTGCCAAAGGATGAGAAATCTATTACCATTTATAAATACCAAGTAAGAAATTAAAAAATGTAGCTAAAATCATCAAAATACCGAATATTGGGACGTATCGTTATATGGAGGCTACACAAAAACCTGGACCTACCCTCCCAGTATTTGGTCCTCGATATAATACACCAACAATAGGTACTGGTGCCAAAATTCATTAACTCCTTCTATTTTTGGCCCCCTTTTATGTGAAATCGCGACATAAAGCGACGCAGCAAGGCATTCCTGCTTACGACCCGTCACATCTACTCGGTCGAGGCCTATTTTTTTCATCTTCTATTTGTACTTCCCTGAGATATTATTTCAAGTTTTTATCGGTTTACACCTGCTTACGTCCCGTACAATAATACAAAAAAGTGGAAAATTGTGAAATATAGAACTTACTCCAGAGAACTAATTAACCCAAAATGTAGACGAACGTAAAATTAGCAAAACAACCAAAATAAATTGGCCATAATATATTTTTTTTTTTTTTTTTTTTTTTTTTTTTTTTTTTTTGTAAAAAATAGAAAAAATCACATTCTCTTCACTCTGACGGCACATTTTTTGTACTTTGTCCGGCAAAGCAACATTGTCATAGTAAAAATGTCTCGCCTATTTATTTGATTTGAAACGTTACACAGGCGGGTAAAAAGCAAACTCAGCAACAGAAATACAACATCATATAACAACAATTGAATTAAACGCCCTCTTGGGTTGAGAGGTGTTAGTGGTGCACAATACAAAAACAATTATAGGGGTTGTGGTTTTATTGTTTGATCACGAACATTGTTGATTTCATACTGAAAAACCGTCATGCAAGTAGTATCTGTCTTTGACAGAGAGAGTGGGGAAAACTACAGCATTTTAGGGGTTGCCGAAAGCAATTGCAGTGATACTCTTTTGCTTGTTTTGTGACACTTTTTATGAGTGTCACTTAATTGTTTTTTCGTTTTTTTTTTTTTTCATTTACATGCATATGGATGCTGTTTGTGAGCTAGATGTACATTTTGTTTTCTTGATTTTTCATGTCTCGCATTCAAATTTATGTTAAAATTTATGACCAACTGGTAGTGTTCTGGTTTTGGTTGAGTAGTTTGAAATGTGGGTGAATTTATTATTATTTATTTTTGAAAGTGTGACATATGGGGAAATTTTACTCATTATAGCTTGGGGTGGAGAATCTTTTTTTTTTTAATAAAATCATTTATTTTCTCTTCATAAGAATTGTGTGTTATTAAATTAAAATCTCTTTGGTTGTAATGCTTCCGAATTTTATGCGCCAATTTTTAAAATGTACCACTAACTGTTATGTGGTACTATATTTGTCAATTGTAAAAAGGTTAACTATTTTTCTATAGCGACTTATACCTCGTAATATGAACACCTTATTGTTTTACTATCTGAAAGATTATTGAAATTCAGAATTTCATTTGTAATTAACTATTGACTATGAGATTAAAATATTATCTAACTCAGTAAGCCTTGTTGTTTTTGTTCCTATGTTATTTATGCAGACAGAGAACATGGTCATTGGGGAAATTCAAATTGAAGTTTCCTCTTTTTGAAAGTACGTACTTAAATATGTCGGAAACATAAGTAACTCCTTAATTCATTTAAGATGGTATAGCCATATTGGTAGTATTCCTTAAGATTAAACATGTGTTCCCGTCTTAAGGGAGCTCAAGTTACTTTAACCCTCAACAGCTTAGGACTTGTCGTTAATGAATGTGTACTCTTTTTGAGTATGTACATATGTACATAAGAAATGTTTATGTGCATAGTAAGTGTTTCCATGTGTAAACAACATTTGTTTTTTTTTTTTTTTTTTCATTATTTTCTTTTCTGTTTATGTCCGTGTCTATTTGTTATCGCATGTAAACAACGTTTCATTTCAAAATAACGAAAAAAGCGCAGCAGACAGGCCACGATTTTCGAGTTATCTTTTTTTTCGATTTAACACTCCATTAGGAGACAATTTATATCCTGTCTGGATTTTTAGAGTCAAACATATTCTAAACATGTGTGTTTGTATAAGCATGTGTCTGGAGTTTACTTAAGTCGAGTTTGAATTTAAAAACAAAAAAGATGTTTGATGTTTTTTTGGAATTTGGACACGTTCCAAGCCATCAATGAAATGTTATTTGTTTGTAGGCGACTTGATTTTTTTTTTGTTTGTTGAATAAATTACACTTTTTGTTCGAGTTCGAGAAGTTAATATTCCACGAACGCCAGAATGGTCACGGGTTGCATGTTCAAAGCAACTATGCGCATGGTTAGTGTTAAATGGCGGCGCTAACCTTTCTTTTCCTTATTCTTTTGTTTTTGGCTTTAAATTCATCGAACCGAAAAAAAATCTTATTCAAAACTCATTCATTTTCGTTGTTGTTTTGGTTTTTGTCCATACCTCCTGCATTGTTTAAAACATTATGCCTTCTGCATTTAATTCCTTCCTTGACCACAGCTTTGTCGGTAGCACCAAACTCAAGCCAGATAGATAGCCAAACGCAACAGGACGTGTTTATAAAAACAACAGCAAAAATTAAACACGTGTCTCAATTTTTAAAATTCAGGTTTCCTACATGTTTTTTGGTTTTCATTTGTCCATCGTCATTATCATCTGCTCAAACAAACGGGTTTAATTTGATTCATCCGAAAAACCACCTGCTCCTGTGAACGCATATGGAAAAGCATATATACGTACATACACAGATATGTATATTTCGAGAAAAAAAAAAAACAAAGGAAAAGTTAATTCTTAAACAAAGGTTCGTTTGATCGATCCTTCCGTAGGGTTTTTGGTTCTTTGGTTTTGATCACCAACACCGTAAAGGGAATATAAAACGAGAAACAAAAAATAAACGATATTGAAACTGTTTTTAAAGCAGATTCACGGCAGCCGAATGCGGTAACTGGGTGGTCGTGCGTTTGCGTGATGGAATTTTTAATTGGGAATTTTTAACAAGGAATGACAAGAAATTTTTTGAATTTTTAATTAATTTAAGAAATATATAAATACAATATTTTCTATGGATAGGATATCTACTCATTCTTATGGCTTTCTCAATATTATTTTGTAAACCAAAAATAATTTTGAAAACTACTTTAAAAAAGAGTTTAAAAAATTTCTGATTTTAGTGTTGTCTAGAGGATGTATAAGTGTTATCTGAAGTTTTTTTTCTAAAACTTTGTAAATCCATTTAAATTTTAGTGCATAGATGATGACATCCAGAGCGCAGATTTGCTGATTTTCACTCGGGAGCGAAGCAGAATTGCTCGAAGAGTTTGAGTTTTTTACGGAGTCTACTCTTCAATTTTTTGTTGTGTATGGAAGCACTCCCGAGTCATTCCTGGTTGAAAAATTTGAGTGGGATCAGAATCGCTCAAAATACATCAAAAGTTTTCTCTAAGAGAGGGAAAAGGTTGGGGGGAGTGATCCTTTGCAAAAAATAAACATACATAATATACAAAAATGGTATGACAAAAAGTAAAAAAGTGTTCGATTTTGAACGAATTTTACTTCCACTCACAAACGAGGAAAATATGCTCACGCCTTTTCCAGCGACATCAAAAACTAAAGTTTGCTCGATGTTTTCTACTCCCATGACTGCCGTCGCTCAAATTCGAGTGAGTTTCAAATTCGACCGTTTTTTCGAAGTTCTGATTACATCAGACCACGGAGCAAATTATGGGCAAGAATAAAACAAGTAGCTTCCGCAAAAAAATCTGGAGGCAACGGATATCTGCCAAAGAGCAATGAAAAATAAAAAAACATCAGGAAACACAAAAAAATCCGGGAATAAAGGGATGACGGTTTAGCCTACATCTTTGAGAAGCCAATGAAAAAGTCCGAATATGTTAAAAATGATATCGGAATAGAAGGGTATCAAAGCAGAACCAATGCAAGGATCGCAAAAAGGCCGAAATAATTTTCGGAGATAATCGGCGGTTTATTTTTTCTCGAAACCAGCTTAATGTTCTGAAATAACAACAATGATGTTTCAGCCAAATTTTGCCTTATACGTCTTGAAAATAAATATATTTCGTATATCTTTTACGAGAGTTTTTACTTCACATTTTCATAGGATTAGAATTAAGCCTCAGAAATATTTAATTGCTGTAACACTGATTTGCAAACAATTCCAATTTTTTAAAACAAACATACCAGGAAATAACTTTAGAAGCTATTTATAATATTTTTTAATATTTTTTGGTACGCGACAGACTGGAATTGATTCTCGTCTATTTCTAGCCATAAAAATAAAATACTCATTATTTTTCCCAATAGACATGCGTGTGCTTCGAAAATCCCATCTGGAAAGCAGATACCAGCAATCAGTGGTTTAAAATCATCAATCAATTTCTAATTGGTTTATTTTTTATTTTATTTCCTCAGAGTGTGAATGAACGCAACATCTGTTTCAACATAATTCTTTTTAGAAACCAAACAAAAAATAAGCAGCTGATACATTTCTTTCTCTTCGATAATAAAAAAAGAGACGACGACCAATCGTTAAAGAAACAATCCAAATGAAAAGAATGGTCAGTATATGTGGAACAGAGATAAAACGCACAAATGCGGCAGATGTTGCGCAGGCGCAAAGCCTTAACGTAACTCACCATATGCTACGCAGCGTAACGTGTCTGTACAATATTCCAATCTTTAAGTAGGACAATCTTTTTTGTAAATCTTAGTAAAGTAGTCTTAAAAAATAATAATAGAATCCTAATGATCCTTTGTAGAGCAGGTAGATGGTATGCGTAACTCCCCTCCTTAGAGTTCCATTATCAATGTGCGTTCATGCGTTTTCAAATGCCAGATTTGTGATTCTTTGAAATCGAAGTGCGTAGAGGAGCACAACACCTACACAAATACACACACACACACATTGTGTGCATACAAGTGGCAGGATATTCTAGACAAGGATATCTACTTAAGCAACATACAGACAAACGAATCGAAAGATTATTGCACACACACACACTTAGCCATAGTAGGTAAAGGTCCCTATTTAAGTGTTTCAGGTTCTTACAGAGATAAATCTTGTTTTTCAATTTTGAAAATTTACAAAGAAAAAATGGGGCAGATGTTTTCATAGATTTTTATGTATTTTTCTGTACTTAAAAACGAAGGGGGACATCCTTCATAGATTTCTTACAGGATGCCTGGCCGCCATTGTGTACTTATGTTAATAGGTTTCTTTCTTGTGTCGCTGCTAAGAGGGTGGATTCCTGTACACAAATGCTACCTGCTACTGTGTGTTTTTGCTTGGTTTAGTAATGAAGAAAATGCTTCATTTTTTTTTTGCCATACACAAATGAAAAAATCTAGACTCCTTAGATCAATCCTTGCCATCATCTAGGTCCATATGCGTGTCAGCCAGCCAGCACACAACGGAAATGGGTTTTGAGTTTCGTCTTATTATTATTTTTTATACGCTTATCTGACACAAGTAGTTTATGTGTGTTCTGCTTAATATGTTTCGTTTGGGTTTTTATTTTTGGTTGAGTTTTTTGTTTTATTCTACGGTCCCCTTTGTCATCAACGACATTGTTACCAACCACAACGTTTTTTTGGCATTGGCGAAAAAAGAAAAGAAAGTTGCATTTTTTCGGTGCCCAAAGAGGATACAGCTGCCAAAAGTAAAGTAAATTGTTGCCTTAACACAAAACATAAACTAAGTGACATACATATACTGCCTGATTGAACTAAGGACTGTTCCGGGAGATTATGAAAAAAAAAAACACTTCTGCTAAAACATTTTTGGAATGAAGTAATCCCATAAATGGTCATACACATATTTACACTTGGTTTCTTAAACGCCAGCTGAGACATTTATCCACAACAGTCCTTAAAAATCGCCCCTCTTCATCAAAAACAAGAGACGTTCATTTAATGCAGCCAACAAAACTAAGTTCAGCTTTAAGGATTAATGCGTAGAATGCAACATAAAAACGAATCAGTTGTTATTTATAAGCACGTACATAAATACGAGCCGAACCATATATGTATATATGTGTATATTTATGCATGTGAAACATAAAAACTCTTGGCTTCTGTTCCTTTGCCTGCTCTCGCAACATCCACGATTCCCAAAGCCTTTTGAGGTCAATCTTTACATGTATGAGAACGTGCCTTTATGGAAGGTAAGTATTTTTTTCCTTTTTTAATATTGAAAACAAAATTTTGTATTTTCTTTTTCTTATCTTTGGATTCTCCATATGAAAGTTGGTCGTTGAACAGAAATTAAAACAACATTTGTGCAAAATAAGAACAGAAAAAACAACAACTTACCCATAAAGTAGAGCAGCTCCGGCTATGCCTCCACCACATTGGGCGGTGATGTACATGGCAGCTCGTAAAGGTGATATAGAGCGTATGACACAGGATGCTAAAGTAACGGCTGGATTTATGTGAGCGCCTGTTTTAAGCAAAAAATAAAAATAAATTTAAAATTAATTGAATTTTTCGGAAAACAATTATAAAAAGATAATTTATATAAAGGGGTTTACAGGTTTAACATATAACGCTATAAAAAATCACTGGCTGATGTTCCCAAAAAATAACCGCAAATGCTGTCAGGCTAAACTTCTGTTCTTTGTTTCATGGAATCACAAATGTGCTCGTTTTTTCATTTTTTAAATAAGTGAAAAGAAAAAAATTATGTCTACCCCAAAAAATAATTATGTTTAACCACAAAACATTAAACCCAAACACTGAAAACCATAAACCTGTGAGAAGAAATTCTGTAAATCACAAACACATGTTGAAAATTTGTTTTCAATGCTATTAAAATATTAAAGCACAACAAAAACAAGAAGAATAACATTTACATTAAAATCTCATATCTCAAGGGTATGTTCTCATGTGTGAAGGAGATGACTTTATGTGTTGTAATTAAATTCCCCCGGAAAGTTGTTATCAAGCAACTACTACAACATTGGGTTTGCTGTTTATGTAGACATTTTGAAATGCCACAATTTCCAGCAAATATCAACATAAAAACATTTTCAATTCGTTTAAAACTTTTCTCCCCCTATTTTCCCACGCATTTGGGAGAGAAGTGCATTGAAAACAAATCCATTATGTGACAGCTCTTCCCGCATCACATGTACATATGTACATTCAAACAGACGTATGAACATTTATTTACACATACATTCCATTTCATTTTCTTTTGTATTTTTTGGGGAAAAATATAAAACAAACACTTGTGGGCCTTTTTGAGGCTCTCGCACATATCCGTGTTCATTTTTGTCCCACTTCAGAGGAGCATACAAAACCCCATCAGCCTTGCATTCCCCGCATCTCCCTTCTTTCACATTGTCATGATGCCCTGAATTTACATTTTATCGATGGCTTTTAGCTCCTTGTAATATTCTTTTTTTTTTTTTCTTATTTTTTTAATGTAGTGCTAAGAGTTATGCTTACCCGATATGTGTAGGAAACATTGTGTTAGGGTACCCATAGCTAAGCCTGAAGCTAAAGCCGTTGCCAATAACACCGAAGAGACACTGGCACCCACACCAGCCCCAGCCGCTGCACCGCACACAATGAAAACATAAAAGAACGATGCCAAACATTCGCTAATAATGGATCTGAAATTAAGAAGATAACAAGAAATTACTACGGCGACAAAGAAGGAGGAAATTTGTACACATAAATAAGGATTTCAATTAAAAAGGATAGAGAGACAAACACGCATACATTAATTTGAAAATGAAACTACATGGTGAAAAACAAAATATTTAATCGAAATAGGTTATAACAAGGCTTAAATGAACTAAGAAACTTTTGATATATGAAAAATTCAGGACATTGTGATGTCATTATTTTAACCGATAAGTCTAGGATTATTGAAAATATGAAATTAAATATGTTTTCATTTGACATATATTTCCTTTATAAAAGTTTTCATTTCAAAGTGAAAAAATTTAATAGAAATAAAAAAATGTATAAAGAAATATGTTTGATTTTATATTTCTTCTCCTTTACAATAATCTATTTCATTTTTATTAACAAAATGTGTCAACTGCTCATTGATGCCTACATTCTTTTAATTTTTTTTTTTTTTTTTTTTTTTTTTGACTTATTTTACTTATTTCGCCGATTGTTTATTCATACTATATTATTTTTCATATCATTTTTTACATTTAACATTCAAAATAATTCATTGTGGGTGGTTATCGCTCTAGGGATTCTATTAAAAATTCTTCCACAGGTCAATAATTCATATTCAAAGCTTTCCCATTTTGGCTTAATTGTCGACATGCATGTTGCATATAGCAGAATAGACACGTCTCTAGTTTATGTTGAAAGTCCACTATCATGATTTTAGTACAGTAATAAAAGGTAGGTTCAATTAACTCTTATTTTTATTTTTTTATTTTAATTCTTTCCGTGTCGAAATTTTTGCACTATACCAGGACCTGCAAGAATCTACTAGTTTTGCAATTTTTTTTCGATTTCATATGGAACCATCACCTAACATTCTTCTCAGTTGTGGAACCGAGAAAATATATGGCAATTTTGTATACAATTTGTTCATAAATTTAAAATAATTATATACAAATTTCAAAATATTAAAATTTTGACTTCAAAATTATTTACAAAGGTTTTTACACGTAAATATAGAGCGGTGCCTTTATTTATGGGGGCTACACAAAGTCCTGGAACTGTATACGCAATTTTTTTGTCATGGGCTGTAGTAGCCAAGGTAAATTACCTCGGCATTCCATTTATTTCATTTCGGTCATTTTAAAAAATAAAAGTAGTAGTTTTCGTACGCACCTCTATTGATCTACCCTTTAGTATTGTACTATACAAAATACTTCCTGTCAGTGTACAAATCTAGCAAATATCCTACTTAAGAGCCCACTAGAAACAAGAGAAATATTTTTAATACTGGCAAATTAAAATGTATTTAAAATTCATGTTTATGGCGAAACAAGTATCCAGATTCTCTGATAATTCCTTCAATATCAGTATTCTTTACTTTATAAAATAATAGTGTATTTTTTTATTCGTCTCAACTTGATTCCATATTTTATTATTGTATCAATCCTTTTTTTTTTCAAGAATTTGAACCATAAATTGGTTTATCTTCCCCATTTCTCATTCAAGCAAACAAAATTTATTGTTCGGACTTCAGGTGTTTCTTAAGAAATGATCATGGAATGATATGAACCTCTATACCCGATCTACCTTATCTATATGCTTTCTTGAATTTATGTATTCAGGCTCTTTTATCTCATATTTTATGTTCAGACCTAAAATATGAACAATATGGTCCCTAATTTTAGTTGTTTGTCATAAAGACCCAAATGAAGTTGATCATTGGGACCAACCAAACTGCGAACGTGAAATCAGTGTTTAAAAAAGGAAGTTTGCTTGCCGGCGATGGTCGAAGTTTTTAAGTCAATTGAAGTGTGAACGTCTCGAAAGCATGGCCGTGCATAGTCTGGGTAAGAGCTGTTTACTACGATGCCCAAGACATAGAAGCGACTTAAGAAGATCACTGATCATCAAATGTGATACAAAAAGTCTTATATTCAATTTCCCAACTACGATGTTCTCTTTGTTAACAACTTTTTGTAATAAAATATAAAAGATGCTTTTCAATTTTGAAACTTGTGTTAAAATTACAGTCACTTTCTACATACATCGAATATTTCTCCAAGTGTATAAATCCCCCCTTTGACAAAAACAAATATGCTCAACAGCTGCAAGTGTTTCTTATTTATTCTTAAAAATCTCTTAAGAACACAAGCGTTGGCGTGGTAAAATAAACAGAAAATTCAAGGAATTTGAGAAGAGTGACAAGAGTGACTTCATTTTCGTTTTTTTTTTTTTTTTGTAAACAATGATTTTCTTTGTTTTTTTTTTTTTGTGATAATGAGAGCGTTAAAGCTCATGCATTACTATTCCCTTTTCGACATATAAATTATTCAATGATAAATTATTTAATTGCCATGAATAGTTTTAGTTCCCATTCTTTGCATAGCAAATTGGTTTGAAACTTACCTCCAAAACTCCAACGTTCTTATTTCGGCCTGCATACTGCGTTTTGGCTGCAGGGTACTGGACAAACGATTATTAAGGGCATTGCACTGATTGTCGCGTCTTATGGCCTCCAGACGTTCAAATAGTGTAACAATATGGGCATCGATATTGTTCTCCAGGGGTATGGTTTGCAATGTTTCATCAGCCATTTTTATTTGGGTTGTTTTGAAATTTATCACTTGATTTGTATTTGTTTGGATTTAAATAAATACAAAATTGCTTTTCTTTTTGAATTCTCTTTCAAATGTGAAAATTTTCTATATTTGTATTTCACTCTATTTTCATATTTCACTTTGATTCGTTTGTGTTTACAAATGAGCAACCGCGAGATCGTATTCTGCTAGCATGGAGCCCGGCACCGGTTTCAATTGAAATAAATTAAATTCAATTAAAGATGAATTTTGCTTTACTCAAACTATTGAACTAAATGTCATTCATTTTCGTTTACAACAGAAAATCGACAATTTTGCTTTCAGAACCGAGTTGCAATTAATTTTTTATGTTGTTTTTTGCAGAACACAAAACGGAAGAATCGTTAAACGATCTTTAACGATTTCCCTTCGAATTTGATTCTGTATCACCCGCGTAAATCTGTAGACGTTAACCTCTCTTTACCGAGTAACAAACACGAATGAATAGTTTTCGTTGTCGCTTTCAAGCCATTGACGAAGACAATGGTTGATGGTAGTGCTTAGCTGCTGGTGGTTGTTTGTGTGGTGGCGGTGGTGAAGACGGGTATAGAAAAACCCACCAGCACAACGGTTCGCAAAGTGAAATGCACATGCTAGTTACACACACACTCTCGCACACGCAACATATCCTCCACTACCTAAACGACAAAACACCCCATCAACCTGACCGGCATTTTTTATCGAACCGAACATTTGTGATACATTGTGTTGTCATACATGTTTGATACAGTGCAAGGTATGGTGACACACTTCCTTTATAAAAATATTGAGTGCTTCTGACTGAAAGAAAACTGTATTATTTGATGTTGGAGTTTGAACAGGTTGTTGGAATGGTATAAACGAGACAAAAAGAAAAAGAAACATGCAGGTATGACAAGAGTTCTGGGATGTTTCCTGGTTATTTACATCCATTTCAAAATGATTGTAAAACATTTCATACCTACCCTTATATATATCCACGGACTTTTAGATCTGTTTAATATTAAGCTAATTTATTTGATAAATGTTATGGTATTTTTTCTACGAAAAAAACAAGAAAAATTATTATCGTGATGTAGGTGTTCATATTTGTCGAAGGAATTTCTATTACATTATCAGCATTTACAGCACAATGCGAAGACAATGAAGTACATAATGAGGAAAAATCTGGGTTTTAAAGTTTTGCAAAAACTATCAGGGAAAATTATTAATTATACCCCACACCACACTATGGTCAGGTTATTATGTCTTTGTGCATTTCTTTGTAACATAGAGAAGGAACCGAGTTAGACCCATAGTTCCTGCATATCCATCCATCTGTCCGTTCGTCTGTTAATGTGTTTTTGTAAACAAAGTACAGTTTGCATTTATTGCCGATTATAATGAAACTTTGCACAAAACATTTGTTTGGTCCAAGGACGTACCCTATTGAAATTGGTCAATATTAAAGTATAGCTCCCATATATATCTTCGCCCGATTTGCTTTTTATTGTGCACCAAATGTGTAATATTAGCCCAAATAGAACGGAATATGGCACCTATAAACAAGTGTGTCAATCGGTCCAGATATAGCCATAGATCTCATATATATTCTTCATCAAATTTGTTGAATTTCTCAACCACAGCAGCCAAATTTGCCAAATTTTATCGATATTGGTTCAGATTTGAATATAGCTCCCATAGTTATTTTCACTCGATTTCAAGTTTATTGTGCACCTAATGGTTAATATAAGCCCCAACTAAATGATTTTGGCGAATTAAGGACGAATTAAGCGTGGAAGAAAGTGTATCGAAGTTGGTGAAAATCGGTTAAGATATAGCTATAGGCCACTTTCACTCACACCCGTAGAATACTCTTCACAACATATAAAGCATAGAAATACCTCTGCTAAATTTTATAGAGATCGGTTCAAATGTGGATATAGCTCCCATATATATCTTCATCCGATTTCACGTTTATTGTGCCTAAAAAATGTAAAAAAAATGTTATTATCCCTAAAAATCAGCTCAAATTAGATGGATTTTGATAAAAATCGATGCAGACACAAATGCTTCTCCAAATTAAGTGGAGTACGATAAAAGCCTGTCATATATTAGTTCCTTTCGGCTTTATTAAAACTGCTTTATCGATCATATTTGGCATGTTGTAATTCTCATAAATTCCCTATAAAATTTATTTGTTATACAGGGTGAGATGAAAAAACTGCAACCAACTTCAGACTGCTGTCATTTCTAAGCCACTCGTCCGACAGCTGTAAAAATGATTCCAGTGACAGCTCATTATATTGTTTATAAGCGTACAAAAGCAATTTGGTGATAATTTTCCAGAAAAAAGATAGTGAAGTGTGATTTCTTTATATTTGGCTGCAAAACCACAAGCACTCCAGCATTTAAATGTGAATAAATCTTGTGTGTCTCGTATCATCGCTCGTTACCGTGATACTGGTAGCGTAGCCCAACGTCAAGGAAGTGGACGGAAGAAAAAAGCAATATCAGCAGAAATGGTTCCAAAAGTAAAGAAGCGACTTGATCGAAAACGGCGTCGCAGTGGCCGAAAAATGGCTCGTGAGCTGGACATATCGCAATATTCCATTCCGCAAATATTGAAAAAATGAGCTCGTGGTAAAGCCATTGAAATTCCAAAAAGTGCAAGAACTTACACCGCAACAGAAAGAAAATAGACTCAAAAGAGCTAAAGAGTTGCTTCGCTTGGCCGAAAGTGGTTTTCTCCGATGAGAAAACATTCCTTGTCCAGCAGTTTGTAAACAAAGAAAATGATCGTGTTTACTTGCCAAAGAGGTCAGCTGAAAATGTCCACCTTCGTTTGGCCACCAGAACTCATGCGCCGGCCATGGTGATGGTGTGGACCGCCACAACAGCCGATGGTAGCTCTCCGTCCGTATTAATCGACCGTGTCATCAGAATAAATGCCGAATATTATCGCGAAAGTGTCGATCACCTCAAGCAAGCGCTTCGCCAATAGGCCAAAATACCGCAGAGCAACATTCAGGCAGCATTGGCCGTTTAAATGCCATAGTTTGTGCAAAAGGTGACCAATTCGAAAAAATCTAAACTTATTCTAAATTCAATAGAATTTAAAAAAAATGTAAAAATAATGGCGTTTGACTTTTTGCAATACCAAATATAAAAAAATCCTTTTCACAGATTTCAGACTAGCAGAAAATCATAATTTTCGCTACGATAAGCAAAATAGGGAATGAAAAATATTTTCTTACTTAATTGAACTTGAGTGAACCGGAAACGCTTAAACTCTTGGCAAAAAAACTATATCAATAAAAGGTGAAAATATTTGAATGTTCGTTTGTAATTTATGAACTCGAAACAGCACAGATTTTCCTGAAAATTTCCAAGTATTCTACAACATTGCAAAGTAAGAAAATGACACAGCCTATATAATTTTTTTAAATTCCCAAATTTTTGCATTTTATATGCACATATCTAACGTAACGGAATTTGGAACAAAAATAAATTTCCCAAATTATATATAAAGACGGGGTTTGATCAGAAAATAAATTTGTCAAATTATACTGAAATCGGTTATATATATATTCGACCGATTTCGTTTATTTGTTGCACTAAACACGATATGTATGTTCGATTCCAATGAAATTTGGAATGAGGAATGAGTGACGGGGTTTGATCAGAAAATAAATTTGTCAAATTATACTGAAATCGGTTCAGATTTGGATATAGCTATCATATTTATTTAAGGCCAGAAAAAATTTGCCACGTTATATTGAAATCGGTTTGGGTATAGCTCATATATATATATATATTTGTGCCGATTTCATGTATGTCAAACACGATATGTCCGATTGCCGCAATGAAATTCTAAATGTATGGCGGAATTTGAATACAATAATAAATTTGACAAATTAATTAGAAATCGGTTGAGGTTAGGATATACCTCCCATATATATTTTCGGCCGATTTTGTATACTTAATGTAAAAAAACGCGATTTTAAAATTGTTAAATTTGTTTTCTTTTTACACTACAAGATATTCGTATATAAAATTTTGAATGCATATAAAATCACAAGGTGTAGCGAAGCGCACCGCGTTCAGCTAGTCTACCATAAGATGGAACACCTCGAAATATATAAGCCGAGACCCCACAAAGTATATATTCACAACCAATGTAAAATTCTATGCCGATTAGCCATGTCCGTCTGTAGGCACGTGTGTTGAAATACGATAGAGTTCAAATAATTAAAGATTAAGCTTTGTAATTTTGCACATGCATTGACAGTATACCAAAGACCTTTGATATTGATAATAGAATAAATCGATCTAAGCCCTCATATAACTTTGCCTCACACATTTCACCTAAATTAATGGTAAGCCCATTCTGTAATTGTAAAAAAGCAATGTATTCCAATTAACGGAATTTTTCAATTTCAGGATTTTGAGGACAGCCGATTTGACCATAAGTCATGTTTTGAAATGGTGCAGGGCAGAGTGTATTTACAAGGAGACATGTTAAGGCCAGTTGATGCCTTCGTTTGTTCAATTGTTATAATTATAAATATTTAAGTACTTTAAGTACTTAGTTCCTGACTAGAAAATTCATCCTCATTTAAATTTATTATTTGTGAAATATATTAATTCTGTTTGTTTTACAACAAAACAGTACTAAGGTCTAAGGTTGGCGCAAGACATAAAAAGTTCGTCCCATCGTTTTTATTTTACCGTAACAATTCATATGATCTATTTAACTGTCCGGTTATCAGTTTTTAAGCCCGGATTATAATATATGATAATCGATTGATAATCGATTTTACGAAACCCATTAATCTTTTTGGGGCTTTAATATTGCTCTGTTGCAAAAGGCCCAAAAGTCTACTAGTTTTGCATTTTTATACTCTCCATATTGAAAAGGATAGTATATTAACTTTGTCATTCCGTTTGTAACATCCCTAAATATTCGTCATAGACCCCATAAATTATATATATTCATAATTGGCAAAAAACTCTAACGATGTCCACCTGTCTGTTGAAATCACGATGCGGCCCACATTATTTAACGTAGAGGGTCATAATTTAGAAGAACAATTTGTATTGTATCTAGGATAGTTGGTATTGAAAATGAGATATATCGGTCCAGTATAGCCCCCATATAACGGTACCTCTAGATATTCGGAATTTTGATGATTTTTGCCACATCTTCCACGGATTTGTCTAAAAATTAGTCTTTGTAGTTCATAATGGGTTCTAGTCCGGTGGCAGAACATTGAACATTGATCTTTTACCCTAAGGTGGAGGGTATTACCGGTTATCACAGTAAGAACTATATATTCATGTAGAGTTCTGGAACAGAGAAAGGAAATTTCTGCAAATTAAGTTTACTTTGTATTAAAAAATTGAAAAGTTTGGATATTTTTCGTACATTGACAACTACAGGATAACACTAAAGGTTTTTTAATAAATTTGTGAGAAATTGTACTTGTTTCGGCACATGTTCGCATGTAAATCATTTGATCATTATCAAATGCAAACAATGAATTGAATTTCCATAATCC